CAGTCCATCCTCAGAGCTGGAGCCAGGTCTGGGATCAGCCTTCCATTTGAACACTTTCCTGTGTATCACAACAACAGTCGATTGGTTTCAGTCATACGTGTAACGCCCTGCTAGGGTAAAATATGGAGAAATTTGTGAAATCTCACTAAATATATTTGTCAGCAAAATCCTCTCCAAATGTTCAGTGTCTTGCTATTCTCAGTATGCCAGTGCAAAACCGTGTTTAATTTAGGTTTCAAATTATTGCCCTCTACATTACAGGCCTTGAAGCAGGAGTTTAAATATCAGCATCAAATGTTATGCATATATTTATGCTAATTTGTGAAGTTGGAAAAGATTGTTTGCATCATTTTGTAGCCCAGATATGTTAAGTGCTGGTTCCAAAAATATATTCCACTAAGTAAAGGATTGTTTTATGACTATTTGAACAACAAAATAAAGGATGATCAAGGGGACACTTGGAAAATATAAAAATAGATAAGCACTCATGTTGCTTGGCTTTCAGACAGATGAATAAACATTCTGTATAATGTAGAGGTTACTCCTGGTTTCTGTATAAATCTTTAGATAATTTTGTGTGCATGGTCAATGTACTTTTTCAGATATAGTTTTAGTGTACTATAGTATAGTATTATTTAAAAAAAAAAAAAAACTTTTTGTTTTAAAAAAAAATCCCTTTGAAGGCGTGATGCAGAAAGAATTTTCACTGCAGGTTGAAGGTAACATGCAGTATGTGGCAGCACTCCAGTTAAGGGCAAAGATGTTAAGTGATTAATGAGTGTTTGTTACGTATCATATCCCAGCTGATCTTTAAACAAAAATGCTGCATTAGATTAGATAATGATGCATTCATAGTTAGTAATTATAATACCAAAAAAACAAGCTGATTATTATAATAACCACATATTCTAGACATGCACTCCAAGAGTGGGCCAAGGATGTGAGTATTTTGAAAGCAACGCTCTTTCGAATCGTACAGGACACGAGATGGAGCCCAGAAATAACGGACTGTTCCACCTAAAAATAGTCCAAACAAGCTGGGGGGTTTAATGGCCCTTCAGGTAAGAAGGATAAAAGCACTGCAGTCAGTGCCAAAAATGAGTAAAATCAAACTACAAATCATTATCAAACACAGGTGAACAGCCTGCAGCTACAAGGCAAATACTGAGGCACTGAATCATCCAAGGAGCATGTAAAAAAAAGATGGTGAAATGAGGATGAATACAAGTTTTAGTAACAAATCCAGGCCTACAAATAAGAGAGTTAGATCTGTCATCTTGAGGAATGTGAAAAGAACGAGTGAAATTATTATTGTTTATTGTACCTGCACAGCTTTTATCCAAAATGCTTTGGTCAAGCAATTAAGGTTAGATACCTTGCACAAGGTTTAAACATCAGAGGCACTGTGCTGTTCTTGGAAAGCTTCGGTCGTTAACCACTGTGATGCCCCATTATGACCAAGGGGGGCAGAATCGACATGCTAAGACTTCAGAGGAGCAGTCTAGGATAGGATTGCTTTATGATGGCTGGAACTCCTGTTCCCCAGGGGTATGGAAGACAGACACTGCATCGCTAATGATTTTACATTAGAGCACGGGCTATCTGCATTTCGCTTCCCCTTGAATAAACAGTTTAAAAACAATCTGTTCAGAGGGGGAGCTGAGATGACATACAAATTATTGGATAGTTAATTACAACCAGATAAAAAGCAGAATGAAACACTGCCCTAAGCTTAGATGCTGTGTGTCCTTTGCATTGTACCACCAACAGTATCGCCGCCTTTGTGGTTAGTACAGGGAGGACAGTAACTAGTGCTTGCTCATTAAACTTAGAGCGTGTTTATAAGGGATAACAAGCATGTGAATGTTCACTTGGGCTTCATCCTTAAAACACGGCCTTCCGGTTTAGGATGACAGGCAGTGACTGAGTCATTTCTGTCCACTGTATATACTGGCTCTGCTCTGTGAACTGAGTGTCACTTTTAAGATGACAATTAAAACCTTACCTGTGAAAAATAAAAACTTTAAAAATCAAGGTGTGGAAAACTCAAGGCAATCTTTAAATGAAAGAAAATACCTGCTGACCATTCATGCTGACATTTTTTGTGTGCCACTTTTGACAGCTGAAACACTAGGGTAGCTCTGAAATAAACATTTATCTGTAAATATTATATTAATTTGGATTTGAGCCATGGTGAAATCATTTGGATTATGATATGTGTTAGAATGCAATTTGTACTCAACACCTTTCATTTTACAGCACACTGGCAGAAGTGTGTGTTGGCACCACGGCTAGCTTGGCTGCCTTTCAAGGCGTTGACCTGGGTTTTATTCCCAGCTAACATTGTAATTCCCTTAATTTCCCTCTGAGGAGTAATATAGATTATCTGCTTTCTTATTTACAGTATCATCATTAGCTACAAGGATCCTATCAGTTTGGTTTGATGAAACTACAAAAGTAGATGGGGCTGTCTTAGTAACTGACCAAGGTGGATATGATTTATGATTTATTGACTGTTAATCCCATAGCATAATGATATCGTTTCAGCTTTTTAAGCATACAACTCTAGAAGAGTATATATCTGAAGGAAGGAGGAATACACTTGCTGGTCTAGTATCACAGCTGCAAAAAGCGGGTCAATGAGTCAATAAGTTCAGAGAGATATTACTGTGACTTTGAGTAAGTCAGTAAATGCCTGAAGGCAACCACCACCTTCATTTCTGAAAGTCCCAAGTTAAAACCTAAAAATACAACCTCTGGTTGAAAAAGGAGTGCCAGGGACAGAGCCAGCATCGCCGTATCAGGGCCACATCCGGCTTTTTACGGCATATAACCAGCCTGCCACTGGGCGGGGTGCCTTTCCTCGATGGGTCATCCATGCCAGCTGAAGTAGCTAAGGTTCTCTATCAGGCAGCCAAGTCGCTACTGGTACCGGTGTTGGAGGAATCAGTTGGGGAGCCCTCAACTCAGTTCACACATAGCATTCAGGTAATGCTGCAAAAACCTTGCTACAACGACCCATTTGTTGGCTCAGTGTTGCCTAAAATGCCTGGAAGGAAATAGATAAACAGCTAACAAAGTGGTAGTTTTAATATTTACACATCTGACGTGAACTTGTGTCCCTCTGTGACGGCATCTTTGTTTTATCAGTGCTGACGCCAGCCAGGTTCTTCAGGTGGAACGTCGTGCTCCTGCCCGTAGGTGTCCCACATTCACCTTCCAGGGATGAGATTCTGTGCAGCTGGTTCGCTGTGGGAGGTACTAGGCCCACCCAGATAGGGGGGTCTCTCCCGTGGCACATTAGCTGATAGCATATATGCTCTAGATCAGTGTTCCCCAAGCCGGTCCTTGGGCCCCCCCACATGCTCCCAGCCAGACCGTCCACATTTTTGCTCCAAAAACATGGACTGTCTGGGGGTCTTCGAGCACCGGTTTGAGAAATACAGCCATTGTATCGTCTCCTGTGGCAAGGCGGCCCACAGCTGTTGTAACTGGCCCTCGAGATCTTGCAGATTGGCACCGGGTCTGAGTTGACATCCAAGCTGATCTCACACATGTTCGATTGAGGAAAGATCGGGGGACCTGGCTGGCCACAGGAGAACCTCAACATGACACACATGCCGTGTGTGGACGGGCGTTGTCTTGTTGAAAGACTGTACAAGGGTGCTGTCTCAGGAGAGGTAAGACATGCAGATGCAGGATGTCACTGACGTAGCGCTGTGCCGTTAGGGTCCCCTGAATCACTACCAGCGATGAGTCATACCCTATGACTCCCCACACCATGATGCCAGGAGTAACGCCGGTGTGTTTCTCCACAACATTGGCAGGATTGGTCCTCTCCCCTCAGCACCACCATACGCGCTCATGACGGTCATCCATGGTAATGCAACTGAGATTCATTGCTGAACATGGTACAACGCCTCTCGTCATCAGTTCATGCCTCCCAGTTGCAGCACCAAACACAGCCATCTCTGCACTGGAGTTAACTGCAGCCTCCGCATGGGACGGTGAACCCGTAGTCTGGCTGATGACAGTCGATGAGACTCGGTGTGGGATGACACAGGGTGTTGTAGAGAGTCCAAATCTTGTGTCCAAAAGGCAAGCGTAGATGTCAGGGGTTCTGTGATGCTTGGCGCACCTACCTTGGTGAGATGTGTTTTGGGCAACCGGAACCTTTAAGATGTGTGTGGGTGCCCTCACATGCTCATTGGTTCCAACATCGGGTGATTGACATCTGCATGCCCCACATGTCGGGTAATTGCACGATACGACCACCCGGCCTCATGCAAACCCACAATGTGACCACTATGAAACTCCGTCAAGCGCTGGTAATGCTGTCTAATGCGTCTACGAGGCATCCTCTGTGTCTGGTGACTAAATGTGCCAGATCCTTGCAAATCGAATCATTTACATACCAATCGCTAGTCTGCACGTGTACCACATTACATCCAAATCGGACCATTACTTCTGGGTGCTTAACTTTTTTTGTTACTGAGTATTTGCTGAGGTACATGACCTTGTTGGCATCGGCTTCTCACTTCTTATAGTCCTTTCATTCACTGACACCATAGATATTTTGGGATGTGCTTCTGAAAGGAACAATGACTGTCGTGAACAGCTAATATGAAATTTTACATTTTTGCAATATACAACAAAAGTGAGTGAAATATTTTTGGCTTGTTTATGAACAGTGGTATAATTATCATCCATCCGTCCTGCAAACACTTATTTTGAGCAGAGTCCCGGGGGGGACTTTAGACTGTCACAGGCAGCATAAGGCTTGAAAAGCAAAAATAGATTACTTTTGTTTAAACTGTGACTATGAAAGGGAACAACATCATTTTCAGCATGACATGCATTTCACAGTGAAAATGAATAAAACCACCCAATGTGTAACAAACATATACGACATAAACTGGAATCCTCAAATTCCCCAGGTCACGTGAACCTGTTTTTGGACCTCACAGCCGTTGGAGAAATGAATTACAAAGGACACCTGGTTTGTTTTACCATAGCGGTTTTACTGAACGTAAAAGTTCCACCTAAACAGGCAGATATTGTAGACAGGCATGAGAAGGACGCCCATAAACATAAGGACTACACAATTAGACTAAGGCTATAGCTGGGAAGGAGTTGATTTGTCTGCTTTGAAGTAGCTGTGTGGTCAGATGGCTCTCCCATTCAAAAATACTTTGCATCATGCAGGAAAACTAATTTCTTCATGCCCATCAAGGCAATGTTGCTGAGATCAGCAGTGAACACACACTTTAAACAGGGACGTACATGCACACGCAGGCCAGGCACTTTCATGGAAATCACAGTGGACCCACCCCTATATCACCATCAGGCTGGATAGTTTGCGACTGGGTTGCATAACATGGTGAGTCAAGCTAAGGGACTGATCTGAGACTTTACACCTTTCTTCTAAATCTCCTCTCACTCTAACCCGAATGCTAACCCAAGTTCTACTGTCTCTCTTACCCAGGCAGACGGCCGGCAAAGGAGCCAAGCTGGGAGGTGGTCTTACCAGCAGCCGGTTAGCCTGGCAGTGCCTCTCAGTCACCCATGGCAGCAGAGCGTCTGTGCCAAGCCCTGGTACCGGTGCTGAGCTCTCATGGCCAATCCTAGTCCCGGACATCACACTGGTGAACAGCACAGAATTACAGCCCCACTCATACCCAAGCGTCTCAACTGTTACACAAGCATGTACTCACACGTTTGAGAGCGCGTGCAGCTTGCCGTGCGAGGGAGTACATTCGTGATTGTGCGCATGTTTCAGTGTGCATTGAAAGCAACGACACCTCCTTCAGTTTCCCCTCTCTTCCTGAGTGACGTTAGAGATGTTAGAGTGCAAGAAGATGATGGAGGCAGAGTGGATGGTGCTGTTAGTGATGTCACAGTCAGCGCCACACTGATTAAAGGAGACACACGATTGTCATGATGTCAGCTCTAGGTAATAGAAGACTGACGTTTCCGAGCAGGGAGCGTGTCGAGCTCAATCTGAGGTACAGTGGGATGGAGTGGCCTCAGTGGATTGCGCAGTGCGCAGGGAGCATGCAAGCTGGCGCGGGCAGAGCATGCGGTGGGCATATGGATGATGGCGTCAGCTCCTGCCGCCAAGCTCATCGGACACAGCCTTTGGCGCATGCAGTGGGCCGGTGCGTGGCCATCAGCTCAATCGCACTGCAGAAATCATCTCCCAGCCTTTCGCAGGATCTATATCTATCTGTATCTTCTAAATACATATTGCTATTTTCTAAAGGATGCCAAAAATTTTAGGGGGAAACCAGTTGCTATAACGGTAATCACTAGGGATGTATGAAAAAGGGAGCAAAACTTTTACCAGGGGGTATGAATTTAATGATAATGAATGAGAACATATTATTTAAACTAGGGTTTCCCAACCTTTTGATTATGTGACCCGGTTTACGTCATACATCCGGCGTATGAATCGGTGGTTTCATGAATTGAGTTGTTTCCATTTTTTCGGAACACATAGACGTGGGGTCGAAAAGATGTAAATTATTATATATAAAAATATGTATTTTATTTTTTGGAAATGAACTAAACCCTTCACAAAACCCCCAGTGTTCCTCAGCTCGGTACCAGTCCGGGGGTTGGGAACCCCTAATTTAAACAGATTAATATAAATTTTCCAACCATAGTGACACCCCTGACATCGTTGCCCTGACTTAGTCTCGAATGACGCTTCATGCAAAGCCTATAACAGCATAATGAAGAGAGCACAGGGCTGAAGAGAGCACAGGGCTGAAGAGAGCACAGGGCTGGATGTGTATTATGAGACCAAGTGTGTGCATGGTGTTTAGTGCCTGTGAAGGTGGGGGTGGGGGCTGCTTCAGGATTTATGAGCGGTGCGCGACCAGCCGAGGGGACTCTAATGGGGGGGGTAAAGAGCTGCATTATCTGGGGCTGCGCTCCACTGAGCCTCTCCTCCTGTGGAGGGAGTGGCCACGTTGTCGGGTCGTGTCTCCCTCTGTCTGTCCTAATTATCCTGCTGCCCACACCGTCAGCAGTTACCCATGAGGTAGCGACGTCCCATCCAGGGTGACCTTTCCGGCTGTACGTGTGGACTGTGTCTTCGGACCCGCTTTTATATCTGTTTTGCTCCGAGCCCAGACCCAGAGTTGTGCTCAGAGCCTGGGCAGGAACACAGCCTGCTGGTTCCTCGCGCGCGGCTGCCTGTGACGGACAGCAGATTATTAAGTGATTTCTCACTCCGCTGCACATAATACGGGAACTTAATCGTGTGTGGAAACAGCTGAGCTCAGTTCCAGCAGGTTATGAGTGTATGACCTCCCGGTACCATGGGGTGGTCCGAAACTGCATCCCATGCAGCGGTGGGGGGTCAAGCCGAGTCATACATAGGACAGGTACAAGCCATGACGGAACACAGCGTTATAACAAAAGAGGAGAAACAGACCACCATTTAGAAATGATAAACTGCATAGAACGCACCTTCAGAAATAAGGCAGTAAGCTGTAGTTGTAGTAACTAAATGGAATTCTAAGCACCCCACTAACTAGATAAATCTAGTAGTGCTGGTTACCCTCACAACAGTCATCCAAGTCATTTGCTGCGACATAGAGAACCAGTCATAGCTTATCAGACAATTTCGCGGTCAGAAATATAACACAGCACTTTCTACAAGCGTACAGAGATGCATTCCCTACAAACCCCTTTGGCACGGTGCCTCGGGAACTGAAGCCCCGAGGGCGGCTCTTTCCTCCCGGCGGCACTCGCTACCCGTCCCCAGTGCTGTGGCTGTCCATCCCGCCTCTTCTCTGGTGGAGGATGAGCTGAAGCAGGGTGGGGGGAGGGAAAGGCGATGAAAAGATAAGCGGCCTCCTTGCTAATGCACGGGCTGAGACGTCCCCGTCGCCTGGACGGGAAGGTCACACGTAATCTTGCAGGACGTATCCTGTCCTCAGGGTGAGCCGGAGCGGGGGCATAGTGCTGCCCGTGGTGGGGTTCGCTCTGGTGAAGTTGCTCCTGGACCATCTGATGCTGGAGATGGTGACCCTGGACCAGAGGCTGTTGGAGATGCTGGCCCTGGACCAGTGGTGGTTGGGGAAGCTGGCTGTGGACCAGTGGTGGTTGGGGAAGCTGGCTGTGGACCAGTGGTGGTTGAGGAAGAGGTTTGTCTGGAGGTGAGGCAGTAAAGTCCTGGGGTCTCTCACTCTTCCCTGGGCATGAGATGCAGAAGATGACTCCTCCCGTAAGCAGGAAGCCTGCAGACACGAAGGCAGCATAAATGGCTCCTCCTGGCTCAAACTTGCTGCTCTCAGGCACGTTGGCATCCAGGAAGCTGGTGATGACCTCGTTGGTGAACCAGGACGCCGGCACCAGGCAAAGGACCCCGGCCAGGGTGAAGCACGTGCCGCTGGCGAGGGCAGCATGGCCCTTGGCCCTGCGGCTGCCCCCCCAGCGAGTGCACTTGAGCCCCAGGGCGGCCAGGCAGAGTCCCAGTGTGGCAAGGACGCAGGAGAGTACCATGGAGGTGCGTGCCGTCTGCAGGTAGGCGGGCAGCAGCAGCACCGAGTACTTGAGCGTGCAGCTGAACATGCCGGTGCTGTACCAGGTGCAGTCCATCCACAGGCCCTGCATCTGTGAGATAGCTGTGATGATGTTGGAGCCGACGTCGGCGCTCACCTTCCAGTTGGGCAGCAGCGTGGCCACTGTGGCCCCCAGGGTCCCTAGCAGTGCCAGGATGAAGCCGAGGATCTGCATGCCTCCGGACACCATTCCCCCACGCTGCCTCGCCCGGCCGGGGCCCGGCGACCGTCCTCCAGGTGCAGAGCCCGGCAGCGAGTGAGCCCGACCTCCGCCAGCCTGCGAGAGACACCGAAATGAGAATTGAACTGAGCGAGCAAGCGTGACGATTCAGCGGGCGGGGGGGGGTTGGGGGTGGGTTTGTGGGAATCGGGTGGGATGGTCACCGGAAAGGGAGGCTGTGCTTATTTCTTTCTTTTGAGTTATTCTGTCTCTTTTCTGAGCTCCAGCTCTTTGAAAGTGCCACTGAAGACGAAAAATGGAAGTGGTGCCGTTTCCAAGGTGCGGAGCGTCGACTTAAAGCCGCAGATCCCTCTTAAGGAGCTGCGCCGAGCTGCTCCTGCTCCTTACCAACAGGGGGCTGCATCTTGGGGTTAAACGGCACAGCGTGGATGCTGATAACCTTAGTTTAAGATGCCGTTCTGCCTTTAACCTGCCCCCGTGGCGTGATATCCTCAGCCAGCCGGCAGCGTCCTTGTGGAGGCAACAGCCGGCTGGTTCTCGTGGTGCGTGGAGGAAGGAGACGCGCTTAGCTCCAGGCTGGTGTGGCGCGTGTGCAATGGTGCGTCGCGTCATCTAGAGCGATTTTTGAAAAACGCGCACGTACACAGCGCCGCACGGACACGGGCGCAGGAGTGAGAAGGAATGGGGGTGTCGGCTGTGGATTTAGCTTCCTCCGGATCGGTCGATGTTATCAGTCCGTCGGCACTGCGGTTACGGTGGTGGCTGCAGGAAAGCCATTATTTCCCTGTCGGCGTCGAAGGGGAGAAGCCCGCGTGTTGGGGATGATAACAGGCAGAGGAAGATAGCGGCGCAGGACCTCGGGCTCAGCTGTGGGGAAGCGTTCCTCGCTAATCAACGACAACAGGACGTGAGCCACCGAAAGTGTTACTTAAAGAATTCGTTGAAACCACAACTCCTTTGCGTAGCTTGTTAGACACGCAAGTAAAACATACACAGGTGCTGAGCCCCACATCCATGCTCTGTGCCCCTCTCCCGTCTTGAGCTGGGGGCTCGAAGGTTGGGTTCAGTGAGAGCAGAATTATTTCCGAAGAGAAGAACAGGACAGAGGAACTCCGCAGGCTAGCTACACCACATTCAGGAGGACAGAGACATGCGAGGTTTGTAATCAGCACTCTGGCTACTTGCTCTATCATTTAATGATATTAAAAATATCACACTGATTCGTTGCTAAGAAACTGAACTGGAAGTCCCTGTCACCTTGTGTACGACGGTCTTATCCTTTCTTGTCCCCAAATGCAGTGGGACAGAATTCTTTGCTCACAAACAACTGCAGAGAGCGAGCAAGGGGACATAGGCACTTGTGCCAGGTCTCCCTGCGTCTGCTAGAAACTCTGCTCCCGGACAGAGCCTGGCACACTTTGAGTGAGAACACAACTGCCACATAAATTTATATGCTCACGTTTACGAATGCCACATTATTCTATCCGAGGCTGCAGCCTGCTGTTAATGAAGCCGAGCTGGATTTAATTAGCTCGCCATCCTCACGGAGCAGACAGATGAGGGACACAGAGTGACAGTTTCCGGAAGGGGGTTGACCTTTGGAAAATCATGTGTCAATCATCCCCCTGGTGAGGCCAGTTTATGCCTGTCAGTAAGGCTGGCATGCAGGGGGCACCTCAGGGCGATACCTCTGAGTGCAGCTTCACTAAGACTGAGTAAGGGGGCACATGTGAGCTTGGCGAGGTCCCCAGCTTTAGCTTGGTGGGTAAAGCGTCAACCTCTTATCTGAGGGTCTAGGGTTCAGGTCCCTGGTTGGGCAGATCTTTGAGAATTTCCCTGGAGCAGGCTGGCCATGAAGCTCCACCATGCTGATCGTCTGGGTTTTAATGGAGTTCTTATAAGAATCATGTTTCCTTCTCTGGAGCGTAGCCACTTGGCATTTAAAATGATGAAATCATGTTCTTAAAGGGTGTTTCTGGCCAACCGTTCTGTTTGTGAACGAAAGAACTGAAAGGCTTTTTATAACAGTAATCACACAGCAATGTCAGGTTTTTGCAGTTCTTGGCTGACATTTCCCCATCGTTTTTTCAAAAAGATTCTTAAGGATTTTTCCCATCCTGTGAAATTGCCTCTCCAATGCAAAAATCACCTGGCTTTCATCATCATAGTAATAATAATACTAACACTACAGTGAACTTGGAGTTTCAGGGCCGATGTACAAAAGCTGTTTCTCGGCTGGGGATTTTTGGGCGATTCCGTCAATCTCTTTTCCACAACCTCTTATCCTAGTCAGGCCCTGGAGCCTGTCCCAGGCAGGACTGGGCAGAAGGCTGGGAGACACCCTGGATGGGATGCCAGCCCATCACAGGGCACACGCACACACACACAGACACACGCACACACTCACAGACACACGCACACACTCACAGACACACAATGGACATCACAGAGACACTGATTCACCTAAACTTAGCATGTTTGAGGACTGCAGAAGGTAACTGCAGTACCCTCAGGTAGCACACAGGAAGAACATGCAAACTCCTCACAAGCCATTAGGCTTACACTGCTGCACACACACGAAGCCTATGGGAGTGTTTGTCTCTAAATCTCTGCATGGCTGATTTGCTTTCTGTCAAGTGGCACTATCTCCTTAATAAAGTTAAACAAACAGCTTCTCTCCTATAACAGAGCCAGTGGTTGTTTTCAGTGTGTATCAGCTACTATATTTTAATTTACAGCTGCCACCCCCCAGCCGGCATCCCCCTCTCAGGTCAGCCGAGAACAACGTCGGCCAGTGCATCTGCTCTTAAGCTATTCCGATTTTGGGGCAGACGGCTCCATTTTATTTTTATTTTCTAAGAAATGAAGGTCAACCTTGGCACTGGCAGCAAGTTCCCCTCTTCACTGATGTGGTTTCTGTTTGTGGGAGATAAGAGTCAGTGCCAGTATTTTAGCACGACCAGATGACGTGTAATTATCAGTAACTGCGGGTCCAGAATTTTCGGTAATTGTCTTGTCTCAGAAAGCAGAGTTAAGAAAAAGCTGGAGAGATGAAATGTTTTACTAGCACATGTAAAAATGCTTAAATAAGCTAAGAGTTTACGGGCCTGGCTTCACCTGGAAATATTTATGGATAATATTATGCTTTTATTCTAACAGGCCTGTCCACCAAGGCTGTAAAACTGAAGTTTACACACACACACGTTGTTTCATAGAAAAAGCACAAAGTGTAAAAGAAATTGGCATTTTTAAGACACTAAACCAGGGATCACCAACCTTTTTCAAACTGAGAGCTACTTCATGAGTACTGAGCCATACAAAGGCCCACCAGAACAGACTTTACCTAAACTTATCTAAACTTCATGTATAATAAACATGTTTTAAATGTTTTTTTTTTTTTTTTCTTTTTCAGATGTGGTCATTTTCAAATCTATATAAATGCAAATGTGATTAAAGAAGAATAGCAACAGGATCAAATTAAATTTTAGACACTGCTCAATGGTGAGTTGTGCTACTGTATTTTTAGAACAGGTCCGCGGGTGACTCATGTGGTCCTTGGGGGCATCCTGGTGCCCGCAGGCACCATGCTGGTGACCCCTGCACTAAACTGTTGGTCAATTTTTTATGTTAATTGGAATAAACATGTTCGTATAACTAGTAATTGTTCATAGTCAGAATCATGCTGCTCTAAAATGTAGATTAAAGTCTGAAGTTCGCTAAAGACCACAAGCGAGGTTCTCAAATCACGCAGATTAAAAAGTAGGTGAACGATCCGGTCATTGCTGAACCAGATGCAGCTTGGGAGACCGACTGAGCCGTTCTGATAATGAAAGATGTCTCCAATGTTTACCAATGACGTCTAATATATGCTAAACTCACTATCAAACAAGTCAACATTTACCGGTGTCACTGAGAAACACCCTGTCCAAGTTGTGTTGATACTCCTGTACAGTCATCCTTTCTTCCTCCTCGGTGGATCTGCCGGCCTGGACATGACACCCCCCAGCCATTATGCCACAACACAACAGACCAGGAATATGAACCAGCGGCACAGCAGGAGACTGGAGTCCAGGCAAACTGACCAGCTACCCAGCAGCTGGTTCTTCTGGGAAACCTGATTTATCGCATCACTAAGAGCTTCAGGGCAATGGCCGACATTGCTAGCACCTCACAGCGAGGGGTGGGTGGGGTGGGCAGCTCTCTCAGGGGGCCACAGCATCCACTACCTCCAGCAGCAGAAACCACACTTCCTAATAGCAATGCACCACTGTCTAGGGGTAGGAATAACATCACAGAAATACAAGCTGCAGTTGAACACAGAGTAAAGCAGGGTCCAGCTAGTTGTGAATGTCCCAACTGCGGAAAGCACAGAGATGTGAGTAGCCGCACGCACACACATACACACACACACAGAGATTAGGCATCTGTCTTTTTGTGGGGACTCTCCATTCATTTTAATGGGGAAAACCCTAATTTCAACAATAACAACCATAAGTAATCTAACAAAATAAGACTTCAGGCATTTTAAATTTTTTGATTGCAGACTTTTATAAAACTGATGTCTCTCTCTCTCTCTCTCTCTCTCCCTCATACACACGCACACACACACACACCCTTACCTGTGCTCCCAGCCGTCCGTGTCCCCCTGCTTGGCTGCGTCCCCAGATGCCGCAGCTCTGATGGGTCTTTCCCTTCACTCGCTCTGTCTGTGTGCCTGTAGCATGGTGCACAAGTGCACACGTGTGCGTAGGAGGGCTGGAGCTGGATTCTGACTGCGTTCACATGAAGGCAGGCTGAGTGAAGCCCCTAGACCCCCCTTCCCTCACCCGGCCCCAGCCCGGAGACCCGTCCCGCTGGCTCCCGCCAGTTATGCACGGATCACAATGGCAGCTAGAGCCGAACAAGTTGGAGCTCGGAGCTGGAGGTCTGCACTGTAAGCCTTTTTCAGCCCAAAATAAGCAGAGGGAGGAGGCAGGGGAGCAGGGGGGGGCTCCAGGCTGGGGGGAGGGACCAGGCTCTGGCACGACCACCTTGACAATTTGACCAGCTTAGAGTTGCTGAGGGGGGTGAGAAGGGGCTGGACTCGGAACAGAAGCTGGGTTCCCATTCATCATTTGGGCAACAGGGCCTCTGCAGCGCCACTTAGTGGTCATTTCGCATCCTGATTCCTCGCTTGGCTCTGTGGAGGAAGCCACCCCATCAGACGCTTCCATAATTCTCTGGGAACACTTTGGGTTAGTCTGTGCTGAGCAGGACGGGGGTGGGAGGCGTATTAGGGCAGGGGTCCATCACCGCGGTGTTTCTGTGACAACTACACTCTACCTAACACTCCACCAATCAGAAATGCATGCTGGGTAAGCCAAGGATGCAGCAGTACCTGGGTGCCTGTGGACCTGAACTATCAGAGCTCCTCACTGTAACCAGCTCAAACAGCTACTCCACGAAATCTCTCGTTAGACATGGGTTGTTCAGCTGGGAAAAAAATCCCTCCATCTTCAGACTGACAAGACCCTGATCATCATGGATGATGGTTGATGACTGATGACCATTGTGGTCTTTGAAGCTAGTGTGTTGCACAGCGCCCCCTACTGTCCTCCTTCTCATATCCATCAAATCCATCCTACAGCAAGATACACGATGCCCGTGCTCTACACCCCTCAGCCGATACACAAGGGCCAAGGACCAGTCCCCTGATGCTAACTGTCAAGATGAATTATCGTATAATTATAATAATTATAATATATAAATTATACACATTTTTTCCCTGCTGCTGTACTCCGGGGAGAAAGCTAGCCGCAGGCAGGGAAGCAGAGGGCACAAACAGAGTGGATTCCAGGTTATATTTAGCCTGAATGGTGAATTTTCCGTGGCCATGTCACGCCTCCCCTGGACCACATCTGAGCAAGGACGCCGTCGGCAGCGGCCGTGTGGATGATTAACCTCAGCGGCCCGGCCATTTCTGCAGGCGCTCAACCTCACATCAAATTCATTCCAAAATGTTACGGAAAATGTAGTGACACTTCTGGAAATCTGCGATTCGGAGCCACTAAGCAGCAGGATGGAGGCCTCTGATGCCGCACATGCAGCCAAGCCTTGTTAGTGTTAACGCCTGGTCCCTCTCTTGCCTTTACCCATAATCCCACTTGTTACCTGTCTCTACAGGATCTCAGTTGACACCACACAACGAGATCTGGAAATATGTTCTGAAATGGCTTTTCAGATGAAAACACGACTCTGCTGCCGGTTTTTTTTTCTTTGTTTCCATGGAGTTGGGACTCGGGATGTTGGAGACAGGTTTCACACAACCGTCCACAGATCTTGGCCCCAACCAGCACCCCTGCTAAGCAGGTCACTGGCTGATCTGTGAGAAGCTTGTGGGGGCAGTGTGTAGCTCAGCAGGTGGGGACTCTTCGCCAGTGACCAGAAGGTCATTGGTTCAAATCCCGTATTTGGCAAAGAAACTTAGTTGCACTAGGAAACTGTTAACCCAGCTCTCAACTGTATGCTGCTTTGAATAAAAGCATCTGCTAAATAAATGTAAATTAACTTAGGCCTGCGATACAAACCGTGCACAACTTCCCAGAAAAGCCTAACTGCTTCTAATGTGTTTTACATGGACTGACTTAGGAAAAATACAATCTATGACTAATAAGTGCAAACAAAGCATTTATTCCACATAACATTATTTTCCATAAACCTACTTACAATGTCAAGTACACAAAGTACAAAATATATTAAAATTAAATTAGAGTAGATATTTACAATAGAAGCTTTAGCGAAAGCTGCATTTTTTAATGTCTGAAAGATCTCAGATGCTCTGCTTTAATCGCCACAGCTGCAGGTACTCAAAGCTGCCTTGCCATCCCAGTGAGACCTGCAATGTCACACCAGTGTGTTTTACTCCTGCTCCCGTAGTCGGGAGAGGTCTCGCTCTCATGTCCACATGGCGTAGGGCAAGCTTTTAGCTCACAAATATATGAAGTTGTGCCCTGAGTCTGACACAGCAGTGTCTCCAGACTGAAAGCCAAGATGTCCCCATAATTTAAGACTAAATATTATTGTACATTATTCTTCTAAAATGATGCAGTTAAGTTAATTGCTTATTTTTACTCAAGCGTTATAAAACTCGAAAAAGCCATTTGGCTTGTATCCCCTGGGCAATACAAAAATAGAAACGTATCAATAAATAAAATTTTTTAAAAACTCACGGTAAAAAAATTAAAAGAAGTAATGTTACAAATACAGGCACACAGCGCTAACGGCACAGGCTGCACAGCACAGGGGATGCTGCCCCCTGCTGGTACGTCACGGTCCAGCGTACCTCCAACAGCGGTGGGATTAGCCTGAAGGCCAGTTGGAGCACAGGGGTACAAACCGGCACTGTAGCCAGGCAGAGGGGGGCATGGTGACCCCATGCGAGGACCTTTTAACACCTCGCCAGTTTTTAATTCCCTCTCGAGTCCAATTTGGATTCATTTCAGTATATATTTCTTTTTATATAAGAGGCACCAGGGTGCACTGGGGCACCCTAAGCCCCGCAGATTACCGGTCCCGGGCAGAGTGCTGAGATTTTAAAGGGGTCAATCAGGGCTGCAGCTGGATGCCTCTGCACTTGAGGGCCAGGCACAGGGGGCCACGCGCTCAGACTTGTCATAAAAACAGTCCTCGTTGACAACAGAGGTTAGGCTGTGAACGCTGAAGTCCCTCTCCAGCAGGCCGCTGAGGTCAGCGCTGGCTGTGTCATCCAACAGCGCCCCCTGGCTCTCACATGGGTTGTCAGCAGCTGGGGGGGTGCTGCCCATGACAGAGTGTGTATCCAGCTCCAGCTGTTCTGGCTGCACACAGGGGGCGGGCCAGGAGAAAGCCGCCTCCTCCACAAGCCAAAGCCTCTGCAGCTGGGCCTCGATGGTGCTGGTCAGACAGTCATGCTGTGGGCCCTGCCTCTCAGCATCCTTCCTGCCCGGGACGTCACTGAGAGGCTGCTGAGGGGCCGGGGACTGTTCCTGGGGGTGCCAGGAGCCACTCTGTTCTCGGAGAAGGTCCCCCAGGTCAGAAGCACTGCTCCGGGTACCGCAGCTCTCAGTGCCCTCATCTGGGTTCAGCTGACTGCTGTCCAGGGCATCAGCGGAGGCCTGTGGCCCTTTGCGCAGCCAGGAGGTCAGGGAGGCCCCTGCAGACAAACAGGAGCGTGAGCAATAAACCAGCATCTGACAGCAGAAACCAGAACAACTCAGCATTTAGCTACACGGGTATGCAGAGTGCACTGCATTGTGGGTAAGAACAGGTCTTGCAGACCCAAGAAGATTTCAGATTTTCTACCTCTCAGCACAGTACTGAGCCTGGAGGTCCAACCTTTACAACTTTGAAATTAACTGTCATAACTGTTAAATGAAAGCAAAAAACGTACGAAACGTAACAAAATCCAAAATGTGCACTTTTGAAAATGAGCTTTGCCTCAGCATTACTGCCACCAAGCAGCCTCAGTTTCTGGATGCTATGGTGCGAGTTCCCCAAAGAAGCTTAACTATTACACACTGAATTCAACCGGAAAAGAAAAGAGAAACCTTCAGGCAGCAGAGCAGCTCACCTGCCCCGCTAGGCGTCGAACCCAGCTGCTCCCGGCTGCCCCTCCAGGGCGGGCCGGTCCTCCTCGCCCCCTCCCTCAGCAGGGAGCGGATGGCCCTAACAATGGTGGCCTTGGCCTCCAGCGAGCTGCCCGGATGCAAACAGAAGGTGGTGGTTATGAACTGAAGCTGCTGTGAGGAGCCCAGACGTCACACCAATAATAATCTGCTGTTGTGGTGACGAAACCCAAATAAAACCCATTCTGACAACACAGGGCTGGAGCTGGGACCAAAATCAAAGCCACAGTGGGTAGGGTATGACAGGTTTGCTTTATTCCCAGCTGAAGGTCACACCCCTAACGGACTTGCGGATGTTGTTGCTGATCTGGCCAGTAGGTGGGGCCAGTGTGAATCCCTGCCCCTTCACCTGCTGCAGAGCTGGAATGGCATCTCTGGTCTCCCCTCCAGCTCTGACTTAGTGTGGATCAACTCCCAGATGCAGTTAGGCTCTGATCCTAAAATGAAAAAGATTTTCAATCAAAGAATGAGGGTTGTGATAACGACAAGCTGGCTGTTACCGCCCCCCCCATCCCAAGTGGTCTGTATAGGCGCTGACCTGCAGTGCTGCCCAGGCGGACCTGCAGGGCTGGCAGGGGGACTAGCCAGCGGAACCGGAAGGGGTCCGGGTCGCCTTGAGATGTGGCTGAACGTGCTGCGGCCTGAAGGGCGACACAAAATCCATTACAGTAAAATCCTGTTATAACGGACTTCAAGGGACCTGGCAAAACAGTCAGTTATATCCAGAGTCCGTTATATCCAGAGTTGCCCAGAACACAACTACAGGACACCATTTACTCAAGTCAGAAAGGTAGTAATCCAACTTTATTTACTTTATTTCACCTATTGCAACAAAATCATTTTATGTCACAAACACACATATCTTCTTTTCTTGCTACTGTAGTGAACAAATGCATAGCAAATGGCAAGAGGCATTCTAATACCCTACAATAAAAGATGTTCTAAAGCATTATGTCATAATGAACACAATTACTGGGAAGAAAAATTATCTGATATTTCTCAAACTGCAAAGAAGTCTTGTACTTCTCATGGTTATTCCAGATGTCACTGACTGTAGATTTACTGATACCATAGTCACCTACAATATCCGCTTGCGTTTTCTTTTTTGTTTTGATTAAAAGAACGATTTCGCATTTTAAATCTAATGGTTATAGAACGATGCTTCGTAGCAGACTTTTCAGCCATTTTGAAAAGAACTATTGATGCGCATGTCCGTCGTAGCGGAACAAAATTACAGTCAAAAGTGGCCCTGGGGACCAAATTATTTGTACATTATAAGTGAAATTCCGTTATATGCGTGTCCGCTATATCTGATGCTTTTTCTGCATGTTCTTAAAGGCACACGGACGGGACCAGCGGACCTCGTCCGTTATAGATGACATTCCGTTATAAGAGAGTTCGCTATAACGGGATTTTACGGTATAAGGTAACAACATTAAAAGGCGGCACACAGGACGCCGAGAGAGGAGGACGCCGACAGAGGAGGGCGCCAAGTAAGCAGGAGGGACGACTCACCGCTCTCCTCTTCACTCTGCTCCAGTCCCGGCACACCAGGATGACAGCTCTCCTGAAAACTGAGACACAAGGCCCAGAGGAGCTCTCACGGCTGCTAAGGTTTAAGGTTGCCCACTGCTGTAAAGGCAAACTTATCAGCATGTCACTGATGGACTGTACACTGGCCTCAGCTGCCCTCTTAGGCCTGGGTCTGGCCACACACTCACCAAACACAGTCAGCTCCGGGTCCTTCCTCATACGGCCCAGCGAAGGCAGCGGGTTAAGCCACGTCACTGAGGAATGCATGAGGAACTCGCCCATGGAGATCTCTGTGACCTGGGGGCCAAGGCACGCCTCAGAGTTACACTCACAAGCTGCCACAGCTGGGTCACATGGTGCCATCTTCTAAGGTTGTGTCCATTTGCACTGAAGACATTAAGGTTTGGATGGACAAAATGTCATGAAGCCAAAATGGACGCAGTTATTTTTGATAATCCAAACTCCATCTCTACTAATCAAGATCAGCTGGGGCCCCTGTCTGCAATAGTTCATCCTCAGGGCAAGTACTTGGACATGATCTTTGATTCTTCACGTAATTTTGAGAGACAAATTAATGCACTAGCGAGCAGTGAAGCCGTTTTTATCACCTCAGATCTATTGCCAAACTAAAACCCATTCTTTGTTTTACAGATTTACAGACAGTCATTCAAGCATTTATCACATCTTGCATCCACTACTGCAACTCCCTTTATGTCAGAATACCACAGGCTCTCTTGTCTCGGTTGCAACTAGTCCAGAACACTACAGCCGGGCTTCTAACAGGAACCAAGAAAAGATGGCACATCTCCCCCATGCTGGTGCACTTGCACTGGGTACCCATAAGGTGTTTGTATTTAAGGTTTGGGCCCACAATACATCACTGAACTTCTCAACCATCACTGCACACCACGTACGCTTAGATCCGTAGTTCCTGTTTTCCACTTCTAAATCCCTTGTAACGACTCATTTTTACTGTCTGGTTTTTGAAAGACGGTGGGTCAGTCGGTGGGACTGACCCACCCACCCACCAAATTAGTTTTTAACCTTTTACTTTATCTTGTATATTGGCCTATATGCATTATACAGCACTTTGATGCAACAACTGTTGCTTTTAAATGTGTAAAGACTTGACATCAAAAGTATGCAGGGGGTGTGGTGGGGGGTGTACCTCCTTCTCAGTGCTGCTCTGCTCAGCCACCAGCTGGTCAAACACGACGCCGTAATCCTCGTAGATCTTCTGCATCTCGTTGATATGACTGGCTACCTTCTCCATGGCCTTCAGAGCCTCTGTGGACAGGATGATGCCTTAACAACATGTGAATATTCGGGCAGGTCTGAAGTCAGCCCTCCTCCCTACAGCTGAACGAAGAGCAGGCAGATGCCACAGAAACAGCGGGGCTTGGTGCTCATCCTCAAAATGCTGCATCAGTGTCAGGCCAGTGGTTCATGTGAGATGTCTGCACGAGTTGGCGCTCGAGGATGTAGCCCAAGACCATTTCACCCAAGAAGCGAAATACATACAGGTCAAGTATCAACCATAACTGCACTCAGTATTGGACTGCTTGGCTTGTGTACACCAGTCTTGCTTTATAACAGTAAATCGGCTAAATAATCATCGGAGATAAACATGGTTAGTGCTGACCTGTTTGTAATGAGTTAAAAAGATACACAGTAAACTGCTGAGCAGAGTTCAGCATCTAGGGGTCTAGGCTACTGGATCTGTTTGAACCATTACTTATGATCTTGCCAAACTTCCAGTGGAGCTGAAGATCCATTCCGGTGATCCTTTTCAGACACTGAATGCCAGCGTGTGCATGGACACTGTGTCCCTAGAGGGTGGCTCCCTGCTGAGTACCTGAGAGGTGAAGATGCTCCTGGCTGCCTGCCTCCGTCAGGGACGCCAGCTCCCGCAGCAGCAGTGGGTACCGCAGCACCCTCTGCACTGGCTTGATCAGATACGACTCCAGGGTAGACGAGTGCTGCTTGGTGGGGTTCTTGGCCTCAAGGAACTCCTTAAAGGCCCAGTCAGTCTTAGCTGCAGAGAGGAAGACCAGGGATCAGACGTCACTCCGAGAGAGCACGTCACATCGCAGGAGACGTCACTCGAACAGGAAGTGTCATTCCGAGTATTTTTTTTTTTTTATAAGTAAGATTCACTATTAAAGTTGTACAGTATCACATATCATATTTGTAATTTTTGTGGTAAATATTGTGCTATTTGTAAAACAAAAAAGGAGCTGAAAATTTCCTAGAATAAACTATAGCCAAAGAAATGTGTCAAATTGGCCCTAAACCACCTCCCCTTATGCCTCGCCACATCCCCCCACCCTATCCGCTGCTCCATCTAGCACAGTCTGTTAGCTCTGCACTGAGTTTTTCCATTCCAAAGCATCCTGAGTACCAGGTCCTGTGTTAGCTCCCATGATGTGAGCGCCATGGGAGTCCTGTACTGCATTTCAGTTTACAAGCCCCCATGGTGCTAAACGCGCAGACACTGCAGGCTGAGTGCCCAGAGCTAAATTACCCTGCAGACTGGGCAGCCGTCCAAGAAAACAGCAGGAAGATACATTTCCCAACATTAATTCTCCATCATCACACACTCACTGCTCCAATAATTGGGTTCTTCTCTGTGCTGCTAAATGCCTACAGTACTTAGATGTGGAAATAATCACCCTCAAACTTTGCAGGGCTTCAAACTTTTTCCGCATCTTTTAGATTGACATTGGACAAAAATACACTTCACAATAAATCTTGGAGGATGGAGCAGTTTGAGTCTGAAGCAACAATATTCATTTTTTGGTAAAATTACATCTCCGAGCAACGACAGCAGTGAGAGTGACAGGCGCCTTAATGCAGGGTGTACCTCTCTCCAGGACTTTCTGCGCCTTGGTGTGGTTGGCACAGAATCCACTGTAGAGTTTGAAGTGATCCGCGTAGTAGAGGAAGGAGCCACCCAGAGAGAGCAGAAGCTTCTGCAATGAGAGAAATGGGCAGAGGAAACAGGAATCAAGCCCTAGGAGCATCAGCACCTCCTCCTCCTCAACCTCGAGAAGAGCCAAGGCGCAGCTCTAGGTCGGGCGTATCTAAAGGGGTTACATTCAGAATTACGCAGACTGGAGTTCTCTCCTGGGACCAGGCTTGGCCAGTCACAGCACAGCATATTACATACATGTGGCAGAAGCTTTGAAATTGAATTCTGAAGTAGTGGGAATAGAAAATAAAAGAAACTCATGAAGCAGGACAGCATCATGGGCAATTCCAGTGCAATAGTGCATTATTAATTAAGCATTAGTGACCCACACCTTCTGAAGTGGGTACTCAACATGACATATGGTCAGTAGACCAGGCTCACCAAGCCTGACTTTGACTACCCACTCTAAATAAATACCAATACTGAGAAGAGAGCCCACTAGCTGCTTGTCCAGAAGAGGGCCTACCTTGACTTGCTCAGGGGTCTCAAGGGTGCTAAAGTCTGGAGAAGAGGAGATGCGGTCCTCCAACGTCTGCAGGAAGACTCTCTGGAACTCGAGCATCTCCGGCAAGCTCCCAAACAGAGACTCCATCTGAGGAGGGGTAAGAGGGGTGACAGTGACATCACGCTAACCCCTCCTCCATGGTACCTTGCCACACCTACACATAACATACCTCAGCTAGGCTCAGGAAGGTCTGGGTCTGCAGGGGTTTCAGGTAGATCTCAAACAGGCAGCTCAGATCCTGCAGAATGCAGAACGTGGCCCATCACTGACCAGGACTGTGACTAGGTGGCTGAACAGCATCCGTCAACCCCGGACGTGTCAGTCTATGCTCACACATATGTATGTTTAACATCTTTGCTTCAAAGCCAGCATTTCCTTGATGTTTTCAGGAAAGTGTCCCACAAGCAGCCACTGCTGCCAGCAACCCTCCCTTAATCACAAGAGATAACCCTGGGCCACCAGACAGTGGCAGAATGTGGCGGTTCACAAAGCTGAGACACACAGCTGTTCCACCCAGTCTAGGACCTGAATTTAGTGGCAAGTTCAGCTGCAGCCCAGGTCATGATGCTCTCCAGCTTTCTTAACACAGGTGATGAGGAGCCTTGGTGTTCTCCCGGCTCCCCAGACGACGCCCCAGGTGAGCGCCCTACACACCAGGCCTGCGGGCTGTACCTTGACGTACGACTTCTCCGTATCGACCAGCTCCTGCATGACTTTGCGTAACTTCTCAGTGGACGGCCTGTTCCGGGGGCAGGGGGGCTGTGACAGACCAACCTGGGGGGGCCTCTGGAGCTCTGTTAGACACCCCAGGCTCTCCTGAGCTTCTGGCATCAGCGTACTTACAGTCTCCATGCCCTGAGGGAAGAGGACAGCAGGGGGAACCAAGCTCAATTATGGGTGAACCAGCAAAACTCAGCATAATGAAACAAATTGTGAATTAGTATGGCCTAAACCACAGGAATGCTGCTCAACAGCAGGAACATTGCTAGACATTTTTGTTAAGAGACCAGATGTTTTCACTTTCTGCTTAGTTTTACTTTCTGTGTGATGCAGCTGCAGCTACATTCCCAGTGATGTGCAGTGTTGAGTGCATGATGCAAAGCAGGGTGAACCTTGGACCAGGCTGGTCCATTAGAGTCACTCTGTGCAGGGTAGTTCAATGGCACTTCAATCCCACTTGAATGAATGAGTTTCCGACTCCTAACCTTGAAGCTCTGCAGCCACAATGAAACCCAGAACAGACAGTGGGCCAACATGACGCTTCATATTTGGATTTTATATACATAGGCTTAGATAGCTGGATTCTTCACATCATGAGCACAAGTGACCACAGGGTACAAGAATGCTGCAACTCCTAAGACACAGTACAAATGTCTTTCTCCTTAATATTCACATACTTTGATTAATTCATCCCATATCTCAGAAAACCAGCTCTAAATATCAATGGCAGCCATACTGTATGGCTCATCAGTTCAATGATTACAAAAGAGAGCCATACACAAGACAAATGAGCAATTTGACCCAGGCTTTTTCAAGCTTCATGAAAGAAGCTTCCGGAGGCAGAAAAATCTACTGATCAGTGAGGCATGGCGGCATGTCATACTGGACCGCGGGGAGCGGGAACAAAGCGAGGGGGAGTCCGCATAGTCTGACCACCTTGTGTAAATTCACACTGAGTCACAGAGGCACAATTAACATAACAATCAACAAGGTATTACTGGGCGTGTGGAATCCCCACGCCCCCACGCTCAGCCTAATAGGAGGTGCAGCATCCACGGTAAAGCAGGGATGCAGGACCAGAGTCAGGGTGCTGGATGTTCACACATTAAGCCTGGCCACCAAAACTGCATCCCTTCCGATCTCACTTAAGGTCAGAGAAGCCCTTCCTCCTCAAGTTCACCCCATGTTTAAAAGCCTCAGTGACTCAATTTCACATCGCATTCCACAAAATCCAAAAAAAAGAAAAGAAAAATAATGCTGACACTGTTCCAGCATCTAGAATTTTGTGAATGGTCTTAATTCAGGTTCCGCCCATTTCAAAGCACTGCCCCCTGCCATGAGAGGTATCCAAACGCCTGGCAGCCATCGCCGAACGGAGCCCTCGCTTTCCTAGGAAACTCCGAGTCCTGCGAGGGACTGCAGCTCCCACACTGACAGGCACAGGCCAGAGAGCTCATACTGCATTAGCTGCTCAATTGGGCTCTGCCACGGATGAGAGCAGCTCCCTGCAGATGGCAGCCAGCTCCGCTTAGAGAAGGTGTGGTGATGGGGGGGCTCATTTCAAAGTAAGAAATCTGAGCTCACTGGCAGCTACATCCAGCAGACAGCAGCATTACTGAGCCGCCGCAGCAGAGGCTTTACACAGACGCTGGCTGGAAGTGCTCATGTCGGCGTCCAAAGGAGCACAGTAATAACATTCAGATGGACGGCACACACACAGTACCCGACCCGGGCCCCGCCCCTTTCCTTACCCGGAGGTGCTGGCCACGCCCATCAGCTACATCAGGCTTCTCATCACGACAGGGGCCTACAGATCTGCAGGTGACATCGGAGCCAGCAGCTGCATCTGGGAAGAGAGGAAACCAAAATGAAGGGGTGACCATCTAACCTGAAGGGGAACTGCGGTGACAGAACAGCTGAAGGGCCACAGAAGTGCTCACTTTATTAGGCAAGAGGATGATGAAGGAAAACAGCTCCTTGGAATGAATAAGACCCCAAAGCTGAAACCCTGCACACAGCAGGAGGCACCGTCTCAGCCTGGGGGCCTCAGATGTCGACATCGTGTTGCAAGCTCCAGCAACTTCGCTGAGAAACGCTCAGAGTGCGGACGCTGCCAAGAGCCGCAGGCCGTGCTCATTTCCATGTCTTTCACACAAAATATGTGCTGATGACTTATCAGCCTGGGAATATAAAGGAGCCATTTACCCGCCTACGGCACTCAGGTTTATCGCCACGGGAGCAACACCTTGCCAGTGCGGCATGCATCTCCGTCCCCCAGTGGACGGCATGGTGGGAGTCTGCTGGCCATCTTCATGGGGAGCCAAACGCTCGCCAGCCAGCCAGACAGACAGACTCGTCAGACAGGGCTCCTTCTCAGCCACCCACTGGCTCCCACTGTCAGTAACAGGCCACCCAGCAGGCGTGACACCCGGGGTACAGCTGATGGCCACGACATGAAGACGGCGGCGAGGAGCTCAAGCAGCTCAGCATAGCAGATGGGCGGCACACCTGTGAGTCTCTAATGAGCAAGGCGGCTCTCTGCTGTAAACACCTGAGGGTTTATAAGCGACTGCTATATGTAACATCTGTTTGCTCATGTCCACGCGTCCGAATGATACTATTCCATCAAAGTACATGAGCACTCAGGTCCTGAAAATGTAGCAACACACTGACCAAGACCAAAAATGAGAAAAATCTAAGCACATCTACCATCAACTGATTGTAAGTCTCAATAAACTATGAAGCATTTTAAATGAATACACAAAACCAAGGACCAAGTAGATGGGGTGGCTATAGAAGCTATTCATCCACATGCTATGCTGCTTAATACTCTCCAGGAAACACTTGGAACGCATGAGTCCACTGCACTTTTTCATTTAACCTGAGACAGAATTTCCGATATACTCTATTTTAGCCAAATGGGTTTTCATCCTTATTGGAGATTTTTATGACATTGTGGTTGAGCTATAAGTTGGATCATCTATCCGTTTGCTTGTCTGTCAGTCAGTCAATCACACACTGACAGACAAATAGTCAGACAGAGACACAGGCAATGACAGACTCGGAGACACTGGGTCTTTCTCAAAACCAAGAATGCAAAGATCGCATTTGTGGTCTAGGCAAGACCAGTCTTGCTAACTTGCCTTCCAAGCATGAACTTGGGGTGCAATGAATCATGGGACTGGTCTTGTTTCGTGAGGATGCAACTGATGTATTCTTGATATTTGGAGTGGGGCAAGAACATCTACATCCTCTATACTTCTATTCTTAAATATTAGAACTGTTCTCCGGCAATGGAAGGTGACGTAAAACACGATAACATAAGTATGGTCAAGTTCGCATAGTGAGAAACACCTACTGACAGACAGAAAGTTAGTGACAAGACAGATGACTCCGTCCACTGTAGGGGGGTTTTTCAGTACAGGCAGCACCCTACATAAGCACAGCAACGTGGGCGACACTGCAGATGGTGCCACCTCACCTGCAGATAGCTGGGCACTGAGCTGCTCATCCTGCATGTCAGCGCAGACCCCCAGGTGGCAGGGAGGAGGCACCGGCAGGCTGAAGTCCGTAGGACGAGCATCTGGCCAGATGGGGGTCTGGTCCTCCAGGGCAACATCCTCCCGTCGGAGGACCAGACTGAGCTTCAGCTGGCAGAAGTGCGTCTGCATGAGGCCCAGGTCTAGGGTGGACACATCCGAGCCATTGAGGACCAGGATCTCGTCGCCTGGTCTCAGCCCTGTGTAGAAACGAGCCCAGAGAGCAAAGCTCATTTGCTAGCAATAGCCCCAATGTAACATGCACCGAATGGTGAAGGTCCCTGGCTGCTTGCAGGCCATGAATGCACACTTGCACCCCGCTGGCTGAAATCAAATGGTCTGTTTCTACCATAATTAGATCACACCATTTAGACCAGACGCTTCTGTGCTCAATTTTTTTTGTGCCTGACACACAAAAAAAACATGTTCTATATTTGATTTAAAGTGTTTTTCACAGCAAAAAGACCACAAAAATAGAACAATTACATAATTACATTTAGACTAAAACGAAATACCTTCAGCAAAAGCAAGCCCATCCGGATTAATGTCGCTCACGAAAATGTGGCTGGTCCGTGATCCATCCACATGGCCTGTGACAGCGAAACCTGTGGCAGAGAGCAGGTCAGGTGAGCTCAAAGCAGGCTGATAGACTTTGTGGTTCCTAAGAGAACATCCTCACATGACGCCAATGTCCCTCAAAGGTTTGTGTTTCACCAAGTCCAAAGATCTATCATCACTAGGTGCCGATAAGCCCGTTGTCTTCCTCCTGTCTATCTTCTCTCATTATGTTGTATGCATACAAGTGGAATAGATGATGTTGCATACTGTCACCCTGTCTAAATCATTTACCAGTGGAACCAGTTTCTCCATATTACAGCCTCACTGTGGCTTCTTCTGCAGCGAGTTGTTGGCATATTCTGCTCAATGTTTCCAATGATTCTTCTTCATTTGCTTGTAATATTTGTATTTGGTTGTCATCCATCTCCAATTATCTGATTTATATATTACAGATGCAGCGATTGACCAGCCAAGGACCGGAAATCGGAGGATTTTCAGTGTGTGGACTGGAGACGGATTGGTCAGTCTCATGTATTTCTGATACAAAACAGTTTGTTTTATGCATGCACTACATGGAAGTTCCTCACTGTAACTGAAGACGACACAAAACTTGCAATTTGTAATACATGTAATGCCAAAGCAAACCATGGGGGAACCACCATGAAAACATGGTGAAACGTCAGAGGTAAACTGTAAAGTGATTATTAAACATATGCTAGATAATCTTGAAAAGGAATAATCAGGGCTCCAAATGGTGACTGAAATGGTGGCCAATGCGCCTCTCACGAGAAAATAACTCAAAAAATAAAATAACTAAAAAAAGGCAAGTGTGACAGCTTTTAGTTACGTACACTCTTAACACGCCTGCCATTCCTGCTACATTATCATGTGATTAAAATGTGGATTGATCTAAAGCAGTGTTGACAGATCGGACAGGTTTTGGCAAATCATTGTGTTGGAAACTCTTCATGCAGTCTGGCAATCTGTTGCAGAGAGTATGGGGCCCGGGCGGAAAATCGATGGTTGGAAAGAAAAGTGGACTCTTGCAAAGGTGGGATGAACTTTTGAGAGATCCCACAACACTTCTCCGTTTCCATTAATAATGGCACTGTGTCCATTTAAGGTACCAAAGATGCTTGCTTTAAGCATTAGACTATGCGGGACCATGCACACCATGTAACTTGCATATTAATTATTTTATATGTATTTATTGATAATTGCACTGTGTCCATTCACTGTTAGTGACTTTAAGCAAGATGGTTGGACTATTGAACGTGAAGTGCACACACAAAAATTTTGAAATATTACAGACAGTGAATGATATTACAGCTGAAAAACTACATATAAAGCTAATTGTACTGCAATGTTGCAGTTAAGGTTCAACCTCAAACCCATTTTCTAATCGGTACATGCTCCTTACCTCCATTTCCGCTTTCTGGAATATTTCAGTATTGATCTGCATATCCCAACATACATCATCAAGCGAGAATACCAGGGAGGTTTCCCCAGTTCGGGTTAATCCCGATGACACTGTGGTAAAGTTAGCATTATACAGTGGTACCTCAGTACTCAAACTCATTAGAACTCAAATTTCTTAAAAGTCGAACCAACCAGTTCAGGAAAAAAATGACCTTGAACTCTATGTGAATCTCAGAAGCTGAACCGTGAATGCCGACCTAAGATAACTTGTACAGCGGGGAAATGAGTCACGCAGCACGTCTCTCAGCGGACACAAACGCTTAAGTCTCAGCCTCGCATTCGCTGTGATAGCATCGTGCATGTTTACACTAGCTGAATACATATATTTAGACATGAAGTAAAAATACATTTAGACAATGTAACAGTAATGATTATATAATAAAATACATTTAAAAATAAAGATTTCTTATTATTTTGATATCCTTAATAATAAACCATTAATGTATTTAATTATAAATAGTATTGTCGTGCCGAGCAGGGACAGAACGGAGACAAAGGCGCAGACGTCAGAGTATCGGGGAATATGGGGTTTAATTACAGGTAAGGCGGGCAAAACACAGACGGACAATACAATGACCGGACTGGGGAAAAACTGAAACGCGGACTAAATACAGAGGACTAATGACAACAACCAGAAACAGCTGATCACACGGGGATTCCACACGGGGTTAACGAGGGGGCGTGGCACACGGAAGGAGCGGACGATTGGGGTAGACAACATTTTTTTTTATTTTACACATTGTTTGGATACATTTATTTTCTTACTTTACAAATTACTGTTTTGATAAATGTGCTTAGATGTGTTTAGTACAGTATATGCTCTTCTTGTTTTATCCTGTTCATTTTGTGTTTAAATGCTAAAAAAAAAAAAAAAAAAAAAAAAAAAAAAAAACATATTTAGGTGTAATTTTTTGGAGCCTGCTATGCTGAGCTGCTCCTGATCTTCCATTATTTCTTATGGGGAAAATTTGATCAGAACTCAAACTTTTTAGGATTCGAACCAGAGTTCTGAATGGATTAAGTTCAAGTTCCGAGGTACCACTGCATTCAGTTTTCCAGTTGAAATACCTTTCAACAAAAGCAAGCAACACCCCTTGGTTTTCCAGATTTCTTTACAGGCAAATTTTAATTAATATTTCAGTGTTTGTGTGTGCACTTCACGTTCAATAGCCCAGCTGTCTTGCTTACATATTGCATATTTCTGTGCCATTTATTATGTTATTATGTATAAGAATGCAGAAGGCAGATCAGATGGCTCAGACAGGAGAAAGAAAAAGCAGTGTGAGGTGCCACTATGCGAGTCTAAGTGAGGCAGACTTTAAGGTGGCAGTGTGTACACTGTACAGTGCCACTATGTGCAGTTAATGATGAGGTAGCGTGGGGTAAAAATAACAGTTCTGGGGGGTCCAGCTATGTCTGTATCAGTACTTAGGTGATGGGAAGGGGGCCTTGTTTGGGGAGTGGTGGTGAAAGCCACAGCTCTGGAGGGGAAAAGCTTTTTCTCAGTCTATTACTCCGGGATTTGATCACAGTGAACCACTTCCTGGACGGAGGCAGATCAAATGGGCGATGACCTGGGCTTCTGCATGATCTCTCCACCTCTGCTTGATCTTTGCCCCATTGGTTATTAACTGCCTGTTGATGTCCTGCGCGCGCGTGCCCGCGCACGCACGCACGCACGCACGCACGCACGCACACGAGGATGGGACTTTCTTAATCTCATGAATATTCAGAAAAACAGTTAATGTTTTTTTCACAATATTTTCCTTTCTCTTCTTGATGTTGCATGTCTGGTTGTAATATTGGTCTTTGTCATTCCTAGTAGCTTTCTGGAAAATTATGATTCAGTACTTTTGAGAGCTCTTTATCTTTCCTGATTTTTACTTCTCTTCAATTTCCAATTTGCCTTCTGTCACCCTTGCCTTCTGAGATGTCTTTGGCTGTTTCACTTTGAGTAACTTCCTCTATAATTATTCTTGGATGACTTCTTTGAATGCCATGCACCTTTCCTCAGGTTCTCCATGAAGCAGGTCCAAAATCTCAAATTACTTTCTGCTGTTTCAGTGACGGAATAGGCATATTTTGGTGATTTCTTGGATGTCAGATGTCCATGCTGTTTCTTTTCAGCTTCACTTGGATCTCTTGCTTGCCTTGGATCATGTCCCACATGTTCCATATTCCAAGAGTGATATTTTTTTGCAGCTCTGGACTTTTTTTTTCGGGCATGGGAAAATATGCAATCAGACATGCAAAGCGCTTTGATCCAGCTGCATCACAAACACCAGCCTTAGTGTGAGAATCCTCAGCTCTTCCCTAGCAGCTTATGAAGTGTCTTCTGATCGGAGGAACACATCCTCCAGCACTGTATCATTATACATCCTAATGGGTTCATACATGAGATTCTCTTGATAAGGTACAGAAATACTTAAAAAAAAAAAATGGCCCCAGGTTTCTCTCATAATCACACTGACTACAGCACTGAACTCAAATGACATGCTGGGGCTGCATCAATGACCTTCAGATTCCAGATGAAAGTGCTGCCCCCTCTACATGATATTTTTTATCAAGCGACAGTTTAATTGGTCACGGAACATTTTTTATTAAGTTGTTTGCTCATGGGTACAATAGCTGGATTCTTTTGGTGTGAGCTACGAAACAACATAACATTTAACTTTAAGCTTCTTAAGGGTAATTTATAGGTAGAAGAAAGATAGTAGCCGGATTAAGTTTATTTTAATTGTGTAAGTGTGGTACTATGATGGCTGGGATGGTAATGTCATGGAGCACTTTTGGAAGCGGCCATCACTAACTAGCCTTACATCTGAGCATGCCTGAGACACTGCCCTAGAGTTCAGCGTTCTTTAGTGAGGGCTGACAGGTCACTGCTCTAACCTGGGAGTTTGTTCAACAAAATCCCCATCTTCATGTATGACACATTCAGGTTGTGAAGTTGCCTTTACCCTCAATGCTCCAGAAATTTTCTAATAAAGTGCATTTTTATGCATTCAGAACTGTAACAAACATTTTCACATTCTTGTGAAAATCTTACCTTCTATGAGTAAATATTAGGGATGCTCATTTTGACCGTTTAACCGTTAACCGAAATAATTAATTTTGACCGAATATT